ATTAAGTCCCACAGTAGTTTACTTCCAAGCAAAAGTACATAAGATTACAACTTACAGAAAGCTTTCAAAATGCAAATGATTGCTCTTTGGTGAAAGATAATGCAAATAAATTCAATATGTTAAGATCACCATATCAAACATAATATTTGAGTTTGCTCATACCGTATACTATACTGTATACTGTATCTTATACTGTATAATACTAGTATGAAAAATAATGATTCTAAGTAGGGGTTTGGTAGTGGAAAGCTTATAGCCATATTGAGTGTCATGTAAGTCCCCAAAACTATTGTTTTAAGAAACAATACCTTTAGCAGCGAAGAAATATGTGACCATGAGTATTCTTGCATTAGAAGCCCACTGATCTAAATTTTGTAATGTATTTTATCTTATCTACTGTATAGCAGAATAAAATGAAGTGATTTAAAGCAGGTGATAAGGGCTAAAAGCACTCCTTTGACTATATTTTAGATAAAAGATCTCACAACTACATTGCATGTATAGGATGCAATGTATTTTTATGTGCATGATAAAGTGCAGGAATTGAAAAAAAAGTATTTCAGTAAATAAAAAAATGAAACACGCCCCCAAGACATGGGTCTCCAGTGCACGTATATTAATTATACACTAGAGAGCAAAATCATAATGAGTTTAAGCACTTCATTTTCAATTTGCATTTGTTTTAAAAAATTCCATGACTTTAACAATACAGTTATCCAACTGTGAAATAACAACCCTTCAGATGTGCTCATGGGCAGAAAATGTGGTTCCTTATGCCCACTGTATAATACAAAGCTGCCAAGTTTCACACCTCCAGAATTTCTCTTCCCACACATACACAATTAACATGTCTGCTCTCACCTATGTTCTTATGAGAAAAGTCACACATTTCATCAGTCTCACTTATGCTGATTTAAATAACCTGGCAACCTTTGAATAGATTTAGTTCATCAATTCCAATTAAGAGTTGGCAGAGAATTCCAAAATGCACATAGGATTTTCTCCTATGCAGGCAATACTAGTAATAAGATATTTTAAATATATTCCAAAGAGATCCCTTCCACAAGTATGTGCATCTTGTTTAGTTTTAGTATCCAGGAATCAAACACTGTAAAATTAAGTCTAAGAGCAATTTTGTCAAATCTAAGAGCAATCACACTCACATACATGCATATATGTGTGCATTTTTCACATTTCAAATTAGTCTAGGCTTTCATGGAGGATTGGTGTAGAAGTCAGACTATGGCCAAAATTCTGTTGCATAATGTAAATTGCACTAGAGTAGGCCCATTGAATCAATGGGGATTTAGTGAGTCAACTCTTCATAAGTGCCATTAATCTAAATGTGCCTACTCTAACTGTGACTTACTATGCTAAACTAAATTGCAATTAGGATAGGTCCATTTGAATCAATGGAATTTATGGAGGACTGGACTCACCAAATCCCCATTGAATAGTGGGTCTCCTCTAGTGCAATTTACTTTGTAAAGTAATACGATTTTGGCCGAAATATATGTGATGAACCAGTTATCTGTGACATTCTCCGCTGGCACCATCACATCACCCTTACACTTTATATTTTCAAAATAAACATGTCGTCACTAAATGAATAGTCTTCTGCTTCATAGCATACAGAGGTACTGTACATAATACTATTACCCAATATAGCTAATGATTGTTAAACAAAGGCTAAAATCCAATAGTAAGTTATAGCTAGAGTAGGCGCACTGATCAGTGAGAATTTGGAGAGGTATATTCTAGTTAAAATTTACTACTGGATTTCAACCAGTGTCAACTTTGAAAGAAAAAACCCTGGGAAGTTATAAGCTTTTTCAATTAATTATACTATATATTACCCATCAGTACTCTACACAAATTATTCTATTTACCCTTGTAAATTCCAGAAAAGATAGGTAAAGGATGAATATAAAAATGTGCATCTCAGGAGTAATTATGTTAGTCTGTTGTGTCAAAAAGAACTCTTTTCTGGCATCTACATGGGTGGATAGAATTATCTATGTAAGAATATAGATGGATAACTTAGTGTTCAGCACAGTAGCATAGTTGATAATGAAAGGCCATGTAGAGCAGGGGTGAGGAAGTTCTGGCCCTCCAGCTGTTTTGGATGAAACCATCTGCAATCTTTTTACCACTGGCCATGCTGGCTGGAGCTTTTGGGAAGTTAGAGCCAAAACAGCTGGAATCTGAAGATATCACATGTGATCTCCTGTAAGTTCCAAGGCAATAGAGACTACTACTGGTGTGCTAGTAGTATACCATGTCAGATAGCTGCTCATCACTTGCACTACATAAAGGAGATGCCTGAGAATACTTCAGATTACTTAACCAAGAGCTCCCTCTACAAAATAAAAATACAAAATAGATAGACATTAGGAATTTTTGGTAGCCTCTGGTGGTAAGCAGTTAGTTTCTTCTCCACATGTAGTGTGGATCAATCCTGCTCACAGTGGCCATAGACAACAGCTAAATGTAAGCTGGGGCTTCTGTTTCATATGGTGACAGATTTTAGCACAAACATGTGTCCTTTAAAGCAGTGGTCCCCAATCTAGGCCTCCAGATGTTCTTTGACTACAACTCCCAGAAGCCTTCGTCACCACTTCCGCTGGCCAGGATTTCTGGGAGCTGAAGTCCAAGAACATCTGGAGGCCCAAGGTTGGGGATCACTGCTTTAGAGAAGTGAACTATGCAAATACTGTACAGCTTCCTTTAGTGCCTGCACTAAATAAGGTAACAGCTGTAGGATATCTCAAGTGATTTAGCTAACAGTACTATATACTTGGTTCCTGCCCTCCACCACTGAGGAATCAATCTGGAGGATTGTGCCACAAGATGCAAGCATTCATTGGGGACATTTGTTCATAGTAGCTTAGGAACCCAATAACAAGGAAGTAGTAAAGAGAGATGGAATTACCCCTGAAAAAATGTATGTGAACTGCAAATATAGACAAGATTAGTTTGCCATTTCTTGTACGGAAAAGTTAGCGCTTCCCAAACATTGGCACTGCACATTCACTTTTCAATACAAATTTCAATGTCTTTTGAATGTTTTTAAAAGATGATGAATAGTCAAAATAGCATTAGATACCACCCTGTTTTTCCTTTTAGTATTCTTAACAGCATATGCAGCTTCTTTTTTCTCCCAAGTTTTCAAAAAAAATTCTACATAACACTTGTCAGTCTATGAATGTATTCTTGAATTATCATTTGGGACTGGTTTATAACCTATTGTCAATGTTTGGGGCAGTAGTGGTGTTAAGAGAAATGTTGTAACTCTTTGATAACAGTCTTTTAAAAATATAGATATATTTTGAATGCTAAAATGCTTCTCAGTTTGAGTTCCGATAGCTTTCCAACATGTTTAGGATACCAGCACCTCTTGACCTGTCATTTTAACATCCCAGGAGGCAGTGTTAGTGAAATGTGATTACTCCTACTTAACTGATTATTTACCTGTCACTAAAGGATTCCTATTTCTGTGCCACCATTCAGAATTCCAACTCATTACTTCAAAGATGTTATACCAAAAGGTGCTCTTTCCTAAATGAGAACTGATAATCTTGGTCCAAATGTTGAACTACCGCTAGTCAGCTGTGGTCTTATTGGCCTAATGAGCATTGCCAGTGGAGAAATATCAAAGGAGCTGGTACATTCCTCCAGACCTGTAAAAAAAGATTACAAATAGTCAAAATATCATCAGATACCTCTCATCATTTTCCAGCATTGTCTGCATTAGCTAGATCAGATGAGAGCGGTAGTCCAAACAAGTCCTATCTTGGACTCATTGTGACCAAAGCCAAAAGTACAAATTAAAGACTAAAGAAACTTCTGTCCCAGTCTAAACCTCCATTTATATTTCCCACATTGGTTTAGATGGAAAAAGCAAAGGTGCTGGATATAAAGCTAAACTCAGGGCCACTAGGGAAAAAAAGGGGGAGGATGTTGAGTGGTCCTGCTGTCCAAAACATCACACAAAACCTTAGTACATTACCAGAATACAATCCACAATCATGTCCCTTGTACTTTTGAAGAGTGAAACAACTGATTACACAGGGAAAACACTGCTGGAATTGTTCCAGCTTGAAAAAGTGGAAGACCCCAACAATAGTGGGAAAAACCCACAACTTCAGAAGCACAAAGGTCACTCATCAGATACTTATCAACAGCCGCACAGATGTCTAGTTTTCCAGCTTTTGGCTGAAACATTCAAACCCAGAGTACAATCACATTTCTTCTAGTTCTTCAGACAGCCTCGCATCTTTAAAAAAAATTATACCAAGCATTCCTTAAACTAGGATACCTACACAACGAAGTGAAAAAATGCTCAACATAGATTCCTAATAATGCAGGCTGCAGTATAATACATTACAGCTTTCATACTGAACACACTAAGTAAGGTGGTGGTGGGGAAGCACCTGAGCATGATTATTGGTGCAGGTCGAAACTGTTAAAGCAGGGGTGGACCCTCTAAATATCGATCACACCTCTTATCATCCCTCATAATTGGCTATACTGGAACTCATTGTGCAGTATCTGGAGACCTAAATTTTGCCTATTTCTCCTCTGAATAGAAACTGCTGCGTTCCACTTTCAAGAGCGTTGCCAAGAGCAGTTTTTGGGATACCCAGACGTGATTGTTGTAGGTGGGTTTTTTTCCTTGTGTTAGGGCTTTTTTTTTTGTCACCACACCCCTTTTATTTTTATTTTAGCATCCAGAGTGAGGAAGAGTTTAGGCTGACGCTTGATTGATCCTAACATGACATTGGGAAGCACGATTCCCACGCAGGCACAGGTAGCAATCGCCTCACTGTAATTAACAGCTGACGCTTGATTGATCCTAACATGACATCGGGAAGCACGATTCCCACACAGATAGCAATCGCCTCACTGTAATTAACACACATCGTCCTTCCTCGAAAAAAAGGAATAAAGGAGGCGAATAAAAGGGAAAGGCAAGGGAGGCGCACACGCCACCTCAGAGCCAAGGAGGAGACAAGATAAGACGCAGCGGAGCGCCTTAATCCGCCAGCGTCACGCGCCGAGAAGGAAGGTCTGCGCGCAGGGGCCGGAAGTGACGCACGGGACGGGGCTCTGAGGTGGTAATGGCGGCTGTGGCTTCGGGTGGAATCGCTTAGCGTCTTATGAGGTAAGAGGCCCAGTTGGGGTGCAGCTGTTTCCCGACCGTGTTAGGTGTCACAAGCTTAGCTACCGCGACTGTTTCTCTCTCATTGCCTTCTTAATGTTGACACGGGCCGTTTCTGTGGTAATTATAATATGAACCCGCCGGTACACCCTCGTCCGACCGACAGGTCCGTTTTGCTGTCGAGCTGGAGGAAGGTGAGGGGGAGATAACGCCTGGGGGAGCGTGAGGGAGCCCAAGTACGAGGGACTGCCCTCGGGGAGGGAGATTAGAAGCCAGGGCTGTGGCCTCCGTTGGGGGAGGCGAGTCAGACTAGAAGACTGCGGGTGATTACCGTGCTGACTGGCGGTCGTGGGAATGGGTGAAATCGCCTGCAAAGAGGCCCAAGGTTATGCTGAGCTGGGAAAGGGGAGGGAGAAAAAGGCCAGAGGTAACCTTGGGGGTGCTCGAAACATATCGAGACATATATATTTTTCCTATGCTGACTCTGATACAATATATGACGGGCGTTATGTAAGATATGAGAGGATTATGATAAAGAGTGTCGGCTTGGCGAGATTAGGCAAGTGAGACGTGGAGGAAAGTGTGTTGCGTATAGGGAGGATATTAATATAGGCGACAGAGCGAGCGATCTACGTACGCCCCAAAGGACTGTCGTGCCAGAAGTGTTTGTTGTGCCTCGACTGCTTGTTTGTAAAGCTTTTTCTTCCTCTCCCTGTTGCTAAGGCGGTTCAGAAGGAAAACAGGGAGGTTAAACTCACAACAATGTGTGACGATTTCTCCTCCTAATATGTTGGCCTTTTTTGTAGCAGGGAAATAAGCCACCGCAATCAATGTTTCTGAGCAGTGTTCTTTTGGCTAGGGTTCAGTTTCTCCCTTCAGTTCCACTAATTATGGGGTGTGCAGACACACAGCCATTTCAGTTCCAAATAGCTTTCGCTTCAAAGTATTTTGGCAAACATCTACTTGTAAATGCCGGAAGGATTTTTATACTTAAAAGCGGAATGTTTGATGTTATTCTTTGCTAACTAGTACTGTAATAGTAGTTTGGTTTTTAGAGCATTCTTCTGGACAGTAATCTTTCCTCATTATAGTGGGTTTGATTTGTGCAAATTGCACAGAAGGAAGGGAACCTTGTGCCTTTCTGTTTATGCTACTATTGCAGGGCACTTTTTTTTCCAAACACTTTAAATATTTTTATTTGCAGCTTTTCAATATTACAATTATTCATTTAAAAATTATAACTTATGTTTAATCATACTTGTTTTCAATTGTATTTTATTATGGTATCTGTTTGGTCCATTTTAGTATTTGTATACTGTACTCACTGTTAGCTTTAAATACTGTCTTTTAATGATGTAAGCCACCTTGAGTTATTTTTAAAGAGAAAGATGACGTAAAAACATCTTGAATAAATAAATATTTGTTGACATTTATTTATTTATTGAAAATATTTAAATAAATAAATAAATAGAAATAAGTAGTTCCAGTTACAAATTTCAGTTACAAATTCTGTTGTCTATGTATTTTCCTGGGATTAAAGAGCAGCTTCAAAACGAGAATATCAAACTTTTTTAAAAATGCTATTTTCTGCGGGAATCTTCATTGTGAGTTGCTATTTGCAATGGAAACAAAAAGGGTAAATTTATTTCTTGGTATAAATTATATATGAACTAGTTTGTACTGTTCGTGTTGCTGCATCAAAAAGAGTATTGATTACAAGACATTGTAATTCTTTATAGGAATAAATTCAAGGTGCAATCCTCTGAGTGTTTTACTTGAGAATAAGTCCCACTGGCTTACCTTTGAGTAGACATGCATCAGGGTTTTTTATGCAAGAATGTGTTAAAACATTAAGACAAATTCACACAGCTGTAAAGAGAATTTTGTTGGTGTAATATGATACAATTAGCACACAGGTACAGTATCTTGAAAGAGTAATAAAGGTACATCAATTTTTTATTTAATTTTAGACAAAGAAAAGATTCTGCGAAGTGGCTATCCAGTCAGCCATTTTGTACCTTAAGCCTCACTGAACTCAGTGGAACTTATTTCTGATTATGTTTTAAGATTATATTGCAGGGATTTTAAACAAATGTCTTTTTTAAGGACCAATTGACATGTTATATAGTTCTTCTGTTTGCAAGATTGCACAGTACACCAAATCTTCCTAAGGCTTGCAAAAATTCTTTAAGAAACACAAATGTATATTAATTACTGGAAGTGGAATGATGAGCTTTTGCCTGCAGAGTGATCCATGATTAATATAATGGATCACATTCTTGCAGATCAGCTTAGAACACTGCTGTGGATAAGGATCTTCTGTTACATAGATTTATCATGCAGTTATAAAACAGTGCCAGCATTTTAAAGTGTGGAAAGTTGTGAATAAAGTCTTTCAATAGTATTATCAAAGTACACTTACCTTTACCATATATTTTATTCAGAGATGGTGCTAATGTGAAAAACAAAATTGGAAAGAATCCTGCCTGGCCAGCTTTTTGTACCATAAGCTGGAAGCTACATATTTACGTAGTTCTATTGTCATTTGACACATATTCACACAGGTGTAAAAAGAATTCTGTTGGGGGGGGCTGAAGTGATATGAATGAATATGCTAAGATGTGACTTGTTCAAAAGCTCAAGGAAAACAAATTAATTACAGAGATAAGTGGTGATTCAGCAGCCAGGAGAAACCCAGCTCAGTTTGAAACTGTCAGTTAGGTTGAGGCCCAACACATTTATTATGGCATATGTTTTTGAAGATAAAGTTCATTTCATCAGGTGTATGACATATACTCAGTTGACAGGTATAAATATGTGATGGTAAGAGGTAAGAATAGATGTTGGTAAAATGGGGAAGTATAATTTGTAGCCATTCACATTTTTTAATTTGGTGCAAAATAAGCACTATCTGTTTGATTCAGAAGGTACTTTGGAAACTTCCCCTGAAAAATGAAGTTCAGATGAGTCTCAGACACATTCCCCAGTGAAGACAGGTATAAATAATTAGCATTTTTGCTCTCTTATATTCTCCTAGCTCTGTTTGCACCGAGTTAAAGGGCAGTATTCTACCAAAATTGGTATATATAAATAATTGTCCACTGATTAGTTTAACAATAAGATAGGGTGAAGAAAGCACAGGGGTCTGGAATGATTTCTGAATGAGCTTTGTGGATTTCACAGAATCTGTTCTAGGCTCTGTGGAAGGATGGGAATGTGAAAACTAAGAGTTTAAGGAAATATTTTTAAGACTTCTTTCTTTGTATCTTTAATTGGTATGTCCTGATGGACAAACTGTGATCTACTGTATTGAGAATAATGGATAAGCAAAATACAAATAGGTTAGGTTGAAGACTCTAAAGATTCTTTATTTTTGACTACTTGCAAAAGGAGTAAAAGAAAAAAAACTGTCTTGCATTTCTTCAGTGGAGATATGCATGAACTTCTGTAGTTTTCTGTCTATTCATGAATCAAGTAAATAACTGAGTAAGAATTGTCTTAGTAGTACACTTCATCCTTGAATTGAATGGATCTGAGCAGAATGGTTTTGATTATACATGGCTTTTTTTCCAAAAAATATTTTTTTAAAATAAACAAATATTCAATAAACACTATGCTGCTGTTCTTTAGGAAGAAGCCTGAGAAAGATGCATCCTGGGCTTACATAGGGCCTAGCTGTTGGCATTGTGGTGGCCCCCAGTCTGATGGTGGCATCTTGGCTGGCCCACTTTGCTATCATCCCAGATCCATGTGGTGGCTGGGGAAGGTGTTGGGGCATGCTGGGAGACTGAAGCTGGTTATGCTCATCATCCACCCTTGATTTTCTTTTTAAGTTAAACAACTGCATAATTTTAAGTACCGTATTTTTCGCTCCATAAGACGCACCTCTCCATAAGACGCACCAAATTTTTAGGAGAAGAAAACAGGAAAAAAAAATCTGTTTTCTTCTCCTAAAAATTGGTGAGCCTTATGGAGAGGTCTGTCTTATGGAACACAACCTAGGACCCTTTGGAGGCTCACCCAGACCCCCTGAAGGCCAGAGGGGGCAAAATCACCACCTTCTGGGGCTCTTTTGAGGTTTGGAAAGCTTCAAAAGAGCCCCAGAAGGTGGCGATTTCGCCCCCTCTAGCCTGGTGGCGATTTCGCCCCCTCTAGCCTGGTGAGCCTCCAAAGGGTCCTAGAGTGTGTTCCAGGACCCTTTAGAGACTCACCCTGCCCCCCCGGGGGTCAGAGGGGGAAAAATCGCCACCTTCTTTTAAGGCTTGGGAAGCTTCAAAAGAGCCCCAGAAGGTGGCGATTTCACCCATGCTGGCCCCGTGGGGGGGTGGGGGTAGCATAGCAAGGGTCCGAGGGAGCTTTCCAGACCCTTGCCACGCTACCCCCCCCCCGGGGCGAGCACGGGCGAAATAGCGACCTTCCAGGACTTTTTGAGAGGTTTTCAAGCCTCTCAAAAGGTCCTGGGAGCTGGCGCAAGGGTCCTGGAAGGCTCCCTCGGACCCTTGCGACACTCCCCCCCCCACGGGGCCAGTGGGGGCGAAGTCACCACCTTCGCTCCTTAAGACGCACAGACTTTCTACCCCCCTTTTGGAGGGGAAAAAGTGCGTCTCATGGAGCAAAAAAAAATACGGTATATTTTGGGATGCACAAGATTTATACACCAATTTTGGAACTGCATGAGAGTTGGCACTCCTAACTCCAGTGTTGTTGGCTAGAGAAGTGTATCATTTCATGGAACATGCACATCTGCTTAAGTTTTTTTTTAAAAAAAAAACAGTTGTACTCCCTTGTTGCTCATTTGTATTCTTGATTTCTTATTCTTCATTTCAGTAATTATTTAATAGTGGTTTAATCTCGGAGTGTGTTCCTTTCTTAATACTCCAGAATGGCTATCTTAAAGATGGTGCCTCCCTCTATGAGCCTGCCCGGGCATTAAAATCAACAGGGGAGGCCTTTCTCTTGGTCCCACCACCCTCACAGTTGTGCTTGGTGCGGACACAGGAGATATCTGTTGCTTCTTCCAGACTCTGGAACTTCCACTAGAAACTAGGCTTTGTTGTCCTTTTGCAAGCAGACAGAAACCTTTATCTTCAGGCAGGTTTTTCCTTAATGACTGGTGGTCTGAGAGAGGTTTTAAGTTGATTGTTGTGCTCTGTTTTAAATGTGTTTTAGTATTGAGTTTATTTACAATTTTTAGTATAATATTTAATTCTTTTAAAATATTTGTATACTTACTGTTTTATCTTTTATTGTTGTTTTAATTATGTAAGCCACCTTGGGTCCTTTTTAAGGAGAAATGCAGGATTCTCTTTTTAAGGAGAAATGTGGGATACACGCACAAGCAGACAAAAGAGGGCAAAAGAAGTTTTATATAAGGTTATTTGCTCATTAGACAATTATAATTTATCAACTGTAATATGGAGGCAAAATAAAGGGTCAGAGAAGTGAAATACTAAAAAGAACCCTGACCTTAAGCATAATTTTTGTATGTGCGTCTCATTATCTCCCAAGCATAAGTAATGTATTCAGACTCTTCTTGCCCAGTTGCTGACTTCAATCATGGATGAAAAGGAAACTGTAGAAGTTTATATATAGTTCTCCTGCAGATATAGAAAGCAAAATACAATTTTCTCTACATTTGTAACTGGTCTATTTTTCTTTCAAAAATTGTTTTTTTAGTTTGGTGCCTTTGTTGGTTTCATTTACTTTAGCAATTGCCACCTGTTAAATAACTGTGCAACTCGGTTTCAGTGTGTATTTAAAAAACAAAGTGGATGTTAATCTGTAAAATTCACATTAAAATAAATGAGATTTTTAAAGGTACCTCAGGGTTCTTTAAATTCTGTTTTTCTGTTCGTTTATACACTCTGTTGGGCTTTTCTGATATTAGCTACAAAATTTTTGCGTTTTCTTGAAAAGTGAATCCGTACTGAAAGAAATGTCACATTTTGTAGAAAATTTAAAATTAAATCAAACTAGATCTAAATCTAGAAAGCAGGTACAGTGGTGCCTCACACAACGATGTTAATTGGTTCCAAAAAAATCAACGTTGTGTGAAACATCGTTCTGTGAAACACCATTTCCCATAGGAATGAATTGAAAACCGGTTAATCCGTTCCAATTGGAACAGATTGCCGTCTTTAAGTGAAAAAACCCATAGGAAACATCGTTGAGTGAAACAATGTTTCCTCCATTGGAATGTATTGAAGCCGACTCAATACATTTCAATGGCTTTGCGAAGTCCTTTTTCGCTCCTGTAAAAGTGCCTTACAGTGTTTGGAACAGGTTTTAAATGCTTGCAATCGTTAGCCCACCTCCTGAACCCTATGCAAACTTAATTTGGTGTTGTTCTGAGTCGTCCTTAATTTTTGGTGATTTTTTGTTTTCCCTATTTAAATGCATTGAACTGTCCATTCAATTGATTTAAATGGGGAAAATAAAAAAATCATCAAAAATTAATGAAGACTCAGAACAAAACCAAATTAAGTTTGCACATGTTTCACAAGGTGCACTATGGAATCCAAGCATTTAAAACAGGTTTCAAACATTTTAAGACACTTTTAAATGAGCAAAAAGGGACATTGTTAAGTGAAATTCCCCCATAGAGAACATCGTTAAACGATGGGGGAAATTCCTCAAAAAAAACCCATTGCTGTGTGAATTCATCGTTGTGCGAGGCACCACTGTATATGTACCAGATATTATATAGGAGCTTCACTTGTTCATCCAAATAGCTTCTCAGAATAACTTCAGTCAGAATTTAAGTCAGTGCTAAAGTTATTATACAGATTTTCATTTGTTTTTTGTGGGTTCATCCCAGCATGACTTATCCTTAAAGTATTCAAACTCATATTTTTGGTTGCAAACAGTTAATTTAGTCAAAGATTCAGTGTTATTTTGGTTTTTCATGACATTCAGTACTAATAGATTAATAAGGAAGATATGTTTGCCAAGGTAACTGGCTGCGTAGCTCAGTGAGTTAGATATCTGACTGCAGAGCCAGAGGTTGTGTGTGTGTGTCTTTGCGCAAGCTGTGCAGTCCCAGGGCATCCCCAGAAGAAGGGAATGGTAAACTGTTTCTGAGTATTCTCTACCTAGAAAATTCTGAAAAGGATTGTAATTGCCCACAGTTGCTGTTGTTAATTTGCCAAGAGCTGATTTCATGAAGATTTCCAAACACTGAGGAGCGCTTTGTTTCATAATCTGCAAAAGGAAGAGAAATGCATAGAAATCTGAATATATTAACTATATACATTGTACATGAATGAAGTGTCTCATAGTCTTAGACTTCCACTGTTGTAGATGGTGTTTTAAGTATTTTTGTAGTGTTTGCCCCTTGTTGTGCAAAATAAGTCATGTATTATTTATGTACTATACTAATATGGTGGAGAGGCGTAGCCGAAAGAGATGTTAAAAGGCAGAGCCTGAGTCAGTCTAGGGCAGTCTAGGGGAGTTAGAGCCAGAGTCAGAGTTTGGTTAGTCGGAGAGAGAGGGAGCAGATACAGAGTGATAAGACTGCTTAAGAAAATAGGTTGAGACGGTGGTAATGATATTGCAAGAGAAAAGTATGTACTGAGATAATTGTTAATGATTTGCTTATGTACAATGTTTATCTGAAGAACTTCTGTTATTAGTAAATCTGCTTCACTTCAATAAATAAGATCTGTTTGTATTCACAAAACAAGTGTTCTGACAAACATCATTTATATTGCGGATTGAGGTAATCCACTGGTGGCAGCAACAGGACACACAGGTGCCACAAGGGTGAATGCCACAACTTTGTTATGTGTTTTCTGATCATTTTTTACTTACAGTAAGCCTATGAATTAGAGGCCTCCAAAACATTCTGTTAACTCCTTGGCTCAAGCTTTGCAAACTCATAGCTATGCCTTGATTTGTCGAGTCAATTCACCTCTTGATTGGTAGTTGTCTTTTCTTGCTGCCTTCTGCTTTTTCCAGCATTGTCTTTTCCTGTGTGTTGTAATGCGACTTGACTTATATCAGGCCTCCTTTGATTTTGATATTGTACATTAAATCAGCACTTGACAAAACTCAGGACTCAACAGAATTTCAGTTATTGTACTTGTTGGTTATATTTGTTATTTTTAAATTTTTTTTTAAAAAAAACCCCGTTTTTCATCTAGTCTGGAAAATATCAGTTCTTCCTCCTCTTGTCTTGATCAAGAGCATTAATTTTCTCCAATTAAATCTTGGCTGATTAAACTTTTCCAGCAGCAACAAAATAATGCCACAGCCTTTAATGTCCATTCAGAAGTTTTCCTGTTTCAGAGCCTGACAGGTGATGACAGCTAAAATGGTGATGATTCACCCCTTAATCTCATAAATGTACCCTGATATATTTGACTTTGGAATCAAGACCTGTGCCTTTGTTTATTAATGGTCTTCTTCCCCCTGCCCCAGTCCATCAGTTTTGAATCTGTGCTATTCCATTAGCATTTCTATCTTGTCTTCCCTCAAAGAAATCAGTGTAGTGCAGTGGGGCTATCTTCCCCTCCCCCAGTTCAGTTTTGGCACCAATTCTGTTAGGTAGGTAAGGCTGAGAGTTTGTAAGTTACATGTTTCCGGTGTACCACTCTAAAGATGCTGTACTACTACTTACAACAATTAGTTAGCAAAGTTTTTTTAAAAAATCAGAAATGATGTAAAATAACTAGCATTTGATTAAATAAATGAAAACAGCAAAATGAAACAACAAAATATCAGTGTGTACAGAAGAGACTAGGGGATGCTGTAGCAAGCAAGCTTCTGATACACACAGCCAAATGTTTTGGTTTTGGTTTTGGGTTTTTGTTTGTTTGTTTTTTGTTTTGGACAAGAGTAGTTCTTGTGAAATTAACTGGGGCCCACAGCTGCATTTTCTGTTTAAAGTTTTTGCCCTCCTTTGTAACCAGGAAAGTGTAAGCTTGCATGTATGTATGATATTACAGCTGTGTAGTTAATGCAGAGGTCGTTAGTGTTATCCTTTTCTCAACCTCAGATTTTCCCTTTGTCTCTTGGGATTATTGTATTGCATTTCTAAGTAGCTGGAACCAACTAAGTGTTTTGCCTATGTTTATTTTGATGTGAATGAAGGGAAATAGTACACATCAGTGTGGCAAGCAGATAGTGTCAGTGTATTATTATGCATGTTGTATGTATCTCCTCGTTCTGCCAACCTGTTGAATAGATGCTAATGTTTATAAAACTAAAATAAAACCACCACAAGATAATCATGTCTAACTTGAGTCTTGAAAGTACGCAGTTAAGGTTTGAATCATTGAAATAGTTTTACTTTAATAGATTTAACTTTATTTTCCAGACCAACTATGTCATCTTTTCAAGAAGTCCCGTCTTCAAGTAGTGCACTTCAGACTTCAAATTTTGCCCATGTTATCTTTCAAAATGTCGCAAAAAGTTACCTGCCTAATGTGCACCTTGAATGCCATTATACTTTGACTCCTCATATACGTCCCCACCATAAAGACTGGGTTGGTATTTTCAAGGTAAGCAAGCTGTAAAATTCAGATAGACATCTGAAAATGTATTAAAATTGTTTTTTACTTTAGAAATGTAGATATTGTATCATCCATTTATTGTAGCTGAACATGTCATATTTTGAGGCCTTACTACTATGTCATAATATTGTATAGATGGGCATATTTTGGTGCATTTTAAATCTAACCGCTTAGCAGAGTATGACTCTTTTACATACAGCTCTCATACCAGAATATATTTTTCTAGAATACATATATAAAAACATTATTCTACTCTGCTGCAAGAAATCCTTTAGCAGAGCACACATTACCCTGCTCAACATCCTATGTGTGTCCCTAAGCAAATAAAATCCATTATAGTAAAAGATGGGTACTTCCTGCACTCCCAGTATGCAGAAGGAAAACACTAGAATGGAAACAATCTCTGTTACTGAATTGTAAATCAGGAAGCAGGTACTGTACTCCAGTTAGAAGTCATGAGGCACAATTTCCTTGTTGCAACACCCTTTGGAAATACATTCTCTATTAGATGCCCAGAACTAGTTGAAAAGTTTGCAAGTTGAATCCAAATTTCCCATAGAAATACATTGAAAATTAATGCATTTTTATGGGGGGGAGGTCAGAACCTTTAAAAAACTTAAAAGAAAGTCACTTACCAGGTACTGTAGACTGAGCCTTGCTCTTCACAGTGCCTTGGTAGACCCCAGAACAGCCAAAAAAGAGCCCCAAACGGCTAACAGCCAGCAGGCACCCTGCACACGGCAGCCATTTTGTGCTCTTCTCCGCTCCTGCTCCTTCCCCCTCCCCTCTCCCCACCTAACAGCTGATCGGAGCTGGTCTGAAAGGCTTTGCAGGCAGCTTTTAAAGCAAGTACCCCTATGCATGTTTCTACACAAGCAGGTTTCAGCTCAAATGGAGCACCTTTTCACCCAAGCACAGTTTAACCCAAAACAAGCAGCTTTTAAAGCAGGTACCCCTATGCACGTTTCTACACAAGCAGGTTTCAGCTCAAACGGAGCACCTTTTCACCCAAGCACAGTTTAACCCAAAACAAGCAGCTTTTAAACTACATTTTACATTTTAAAATGACAATACCAGGCAGTCCCAGGTCTCTCTCCCAGCAATCTAACTGCTTGGACTAG